TACATCATTGATAACTTCCATTGACCTGTCTGTAAGTTTCCTGATTCTTTTAATTTTTCCAATAGAATATTAGCACTGTCGAAAACAATTTAGGCCTCAGATACTGTATCTTTCAGTCCTACACTTTCCATTTCTCGTCTGAGATTACCTGTCTCCTCGTACATCATATCTACCTTTTCCTGTAAATTCTCTAACACAGTTAGGTTTCCTCCACCAAACCCAGAATATCCAGCTATACTCTCAAGCCCATTTCTGTAGTCAATCAAGTGGGCAGTGCCATCAGTCCCTGTGGGTCAGAGGTCTGACTGCATCTCTGTCCTGGGCTGATGGTGGTGGCCTCCTCACTGCCTGCAACTGCTGGCTGACCCTGCCCCTGGTCTAACTGTTACTGTCAAGACCTGGAACCCAAGGCCATTGCAGCACCCCCAAGGCCATGTCCAGTCCTCAGAGGACAGACACGTGGCGCTCTCTCAGGGCTGGAGAACGCCTCATCCCGTGTTAGAGAATCGTGACGTTAGAGAATGAAGGGAGTGGGGAGGTGTCCTCACCAGGGAGGTGGGACACGGCGGGGGTTTGTCCACGTCACCCTTCCTGTCTCGCTGAGCCTTTAGCCTCCTTCTTTAGGCCATGCTTCCCCACATTAACGTGGAGACATGCACATGTAACATGCCTATTTGTAAGTGTATGTTCTGACTCCGCAGGTTTGGGGTGGGGCCTGAGAGTCGGTATTTCTAAAACGCTCCAAGGCCACTGCTGCCGCCCTTGCACCACACAGAGGGTCTGAGGCCAGGGAGTTCAGTCTCATTACCCGCCACCTGCCACTGTGTAGCACCCCCCCCCCATCCAACCTGGGCCGTCATTAATGCCACCTGCAGGTGCTCGAACCAGTATTTTAAATCCTGGTGTGCAGCCGGGCCGTTTCCTTCTTCCCAGGCCAGCACCTTCGATCCTTCGACGGCTGCTCCTGGACACAGAGAGGCGAGCTTCTGTACCTCCTTTTGCAGAAAGGCTCTCTCTGCCCAGAGCAGTCTTTGTGCTTGTCCATCTGTGCCCTGGGGCCTCCCGGCCATCTGACTTCTACGGGCTTTTGGGCTGTGGGGGTGTTAGAGTGGGTCTTGAAAGCAATTGGCATCCACTTGAGAGTCACCTGCCCCAGGAACAATCTCTGAGAAGCTTCTGCCAGCAAGGGAGGCTCAGGGACACAGGGGTCCCTATGTCCCAACGGTCTCCACCTGACCTAGCCAAACACGAATGCAGATGTTGCTGTGCAGGGGTGGGTGGATGTGGTCAGCACCTGCCATCCCCTGAGTTTAAACACAGGAGATCTCCCTTCATAATCCGGGAGGCTCTCATCAACCAATTGAAATGCCCTGAAGAGACTGTTAGAAATATGGCCGATGGAGGTGGGCTGGTGAGGACTCAGGATGAAGGGAGAGCTGTTATCTTACAGGACACACACCACCATGAGCAGAATGTTGGTGGCAAGGCGAGCGTTAAAGTTGGTGGGGCCTCCGATGGGAACCAGGGGCGTGTTACTGGAAACCAGAGGAGCAGTGCAGCCGGTGACGCCATGGCAGAAAACCGGACTGAGCTGCGTTCTGACGTCGGGCAGAACGCACACCCTGTAGGCGATGAACTTGGATATGGGCAGTTAACAGTGTGGGTTGCTTTCCTTTTGCTGCTCAGAGTAGAATGTGGGAGAAACGAGGTAAATTGAGGGAAGTCTCTTAAGCAAAACTGAACGAGCACTTAAAGATTTGGGCCTGTCCACACTGAGAAGAACACTAGAATTAGGAAATTTCCTGCTGTAAAAGCATCTTCTAAACAGAGGGCCAAGGGCTGCGCAGCCACTTGCCGGAGAGGCTGGTGGTAACTCTGAAGCCACCCAGGCACCAAGCAGAGCCCAGGGGGAGGGGTGGCCTCACCCTCCTGTGTAACGGATCCCCGTGTGTGTCCACGAATGCCGGACCGGCAGACACACCGCCGGCTGGGACTGAGAGGAACAGATTCAGGGGAGAGTGAAAGAGGGCTATCAGACTTTCCAGAAAGTTCTTTAAGCAGGAAGGGGCTGACAGAGCCGGCGAGCTGCAGGTCTGTGCTACCCATCAGGATAAAGGAAGAAGAGCTCTGAGGGCGGCGTATCCAGCTGCAGAGGATTCTTCTCAGGTCTTTGAAACGTAACAGAATTTTCTCTGCTGGATTTTGACTTTACTTGGGAGCGGTGACTCCTTTGTTTCTTCCAGGTTCTCTTTTTGGAAAGGAAATGTCTGTCCTGTGCTCAACCTGCCCATCTATTTGGGAAGCAGATAACCTGTGTTCCAGCTGCACAGATGAAGAATTCCACCTCGGGACGGGCCACACCCAGAGTCTCACTGGCACCGAGTGACGTGGTGACATTTGGGACTCGTGAGCTGGTCATGCCCAGCTGGCGTTTTAGGCCTGGAGTTCGTGCTGCGGTGCTGAGGTTCCGGGGTATTCTGCACACAGGATGAACACAGATGTTGGAGGACCCAGCGGTGGACTGTGGTAGGTTTACTGGCGGCCCCACAAAAGATATCTCCACCCAGAACCTGTGAATGGGGCCGTCTTTGGAAAGAGGGTCTTTGCGGGTGTAATTAAGGATCTCAAGGTGATATCAACCTGCATTACGGTGTGCCCCAAATCCTAAGGCAAGTGTCCTCCTAAGGGAAGAAGAGGCGAGGGCACACAGGTGAAACATGACATCACGATGGACGCAGAGAGTGAAGTGCAGGAGCCACCAGAAGCCCGGAAAGGGGTGGGTTCCCTCTCAGGGCCTCCAGAAGGCACAGGCCCGGCTGCAGGGCTGTGGGAGAATCCACTTCTGTGGTTTTCAGCCACCACTTCGCTGTGCTGTGTCACGGCGGCCCTGGGAGCTGGTGCGCCAGCCTGTGCCTCACACCTGGTGCCACACGGCGCCATGGGCCCCGCTGCCCCACTGTGCGCTCCCCTCTCATGATCCTCTCTGCAGTCCCCAGAAGCCAGGCAGCCCGTGGCCTCTAGAGCCGACCCACTGTGCCAGCACCTGAGTCCCCAAACTCTGTCTTCCACTGCATTTGGTCCCGGTCCCACCAGAGCCAGTGCTGGTGGCCCACGGCCAGGCACGGGCTGCCTTCCGTCTCCTGCCAGGAAGGAGGCCGCCTCGGACCCTCCGCACCGGGGAGTCCCCAGGATCGGAGTCCCGTCGGAGCTTCGGTCTCGTTCCCTGGGGCCCGCGCTGCTGCCTGCTTCCCAGCCGGGAGTTCGAGTTCCACGGAAGGACTGTTTACAAAGCGCGGTCGGCCCACGGGTGATCATCTCACAAAGCTGACGCAGGACGAAGCGCAGCTGAAAGCCGGAGACTGTGCCGCCCTCCCGCTCCGTGCCACCACTGGCCGGGTGCCAGGGGCGCCCCCTCGGGAAGCACGGCCCGTTTGGACACGCGAAAGACCAGAGCACAAAGTCAGCGGGAGTAACCCAGCGTCTGCGGGAGTGATTGCCCCCCGCGCATCTCAACGGCTAACACACGTCGCACCTGCCTGGGGCGGGTCTGCGGGCGGTCCCGGGAGGGGGCGTGGCCAAGCGGTAAGTGTGGCCAGCCCCACGCCGGTGTCGGACAGCCAGCGCCGCTCTCACTTCCTGGGCCAAGCGGGTCAAGGGGCCACACTGAGCTTCAAAGGTGGGGCAGGGTAGGAGTGTGGCCTAGCAGGGCGGGGAGGCCCACAGCCCGGGGTGGAGGGCGGGGCCGGGCAGAGCCCGGGGCGGCCGAGGAGGCGGGTACAGGGACGGCGCAGCAGCCGCAGGGCTGGAAACTCACCTGCGAGCCGGGGTCGGGGTGGGGGGGGGGGAGCAGAAGGGCCTTCCAGGACCTCACGGGGAAGGAAGGAACGGCCTGGCTTTGGGCTTGGCTACCAGGCAGAACTTAAGGCTTCCGAACGTCCGCTCATCACAGGAAAGACTCCCCAGTGACAAGGCGCCGTCTCCTGGGGGTTCGCTGTGCCCAGCGCTGTACCCCGCCGTCTCACGTGGCCTAGAGAGCAGGGGTGGAGGCTCGCGGGGTTCAGGCGTGCGTCGCGCTCTCCAGATACCCCGCGAAGGCCACGGAGAACCCCGCGGTCGGCGCCCAGGCCCTTGGCGGACCCAGGCAGCTGCAGGGGGCCCTGGGCAACTCGGGCACCCGCGCCGGGGTGTCCGGTGGGCCTCCCTGGGAGGAGGACCGGGACCCTGCCAAGGAGACCCCGAGAGCGCGGGTGCACGAGTCGGTGAGAGTGCGCGCGCTCGCGGCCAGGCTCCCTGCAGACCGCGGGCGGAGGGGCTGAAGTACCAGGCCCCGCCCCGCCCTCTCCCTCCGCGGGCGGCCTGCACGCCCCGACCCCCACCCAGCCTCGGCCCCCGGCGCCCTTCCCCGGCCCCGCGCGCCGCCTTGCGAAGCGCAGAGCCGCAGGATGAAGCTGAAGGTCGCCCCACATCGGGTGCCCGGCTTTGCTCGCGAAAGGCGGCGGGGTGGGGACAGCCAAGGGGAGCCCCGAGTCCCCGCCGCCCTGCCGAGCGGGGCCGTTCCCATCCTTTCGGGAGGCCCGGAGGGGATCGCGGCCTTCCCTCCCCAGCTCTTGTCCCCGCCTCTGGTCGGTGCTGCGGCCCCAGGGTCCGTGCGGACCGGGCCCCGCTCGAGGCGGGCGGTGGGCACGCGGCTGGGCGCGCCAGCACCCGCGCCCGCCCCGCCCCCGGCGCCCCGCCCCGCCCCGACTCGGCCCCGCCCCGCCCCGACTCGGCCCCGCCCCGCCCCCGGCGCCCCGCCCCGCCCCGACTCGGCCCCGCCCCGCCCCGACTCGGCCCCGCGCCCCGCCCCGCCCCGCCCCGCCCCCGCGCGCCGGCAGTCCGCACCGGCCAGCGCCGAGGCCGGGGCGCACGGCGAGCGCCGCCAGCCGCTCCCGCCGCCGCTGCCGCTCCCCGCCCGGCGGGCGGGCCATGTCCCCGGCCGCGGCGCGCACCCAGGCCCGGCGATGAGGAGCGGCGCGGAGCGTAGGGGCAGCAGCGCCGCGGCGCCCCCCGGCTCGCCGCCCCCCGGCCGCGCGCGCCCCGCCGGCGCCGACGCGGCTCCGGCCCCGCCGCCGCCCGCCGCGGGCCAGCCCCGGGCCCGGGACGCGAGCGACGCCCGCGCGCAGCCGCGCCCCCTGTTCCCCTGGAGCAAGTGGAGGAAGAGGATGGGCTCGTCCCTGTCGGCGGCCGCGGCGCGGAGGCCGGTGTTTGACGACCAGGAAGACGGTGAGCGCGGCCGCTCGGGGGGCCGCTCGGGGGGGGCCGGGGGGGCCGCTCGGGGGGGCCGCGCGGGAGGGACGGCGTCCCGCGGCGCCTCGGTTTCCGAGGAAACTCGCGGGGGGAGCCCGCCGTGCCCCCGCGCGCCCTGGGCTCCCGCCTGCGTCCCGCGTGTCCCGCGGCGGCGCGGCGGGCGGGACAGGCTCGGGCCCGCCCTCGGGGTGAGGCTCCGCGTTCGCAGCGGCCCCGGCCGTGTGTGTCCGCTTGCCTCCCGGGGCGGCGCGCGGGCTCGGCCGGCTGTGCACCTGCGGCGCCGCGCCCGCCGAGGGGTCGCCGGGCCCCACAGGTGGCGCGGGGTCCCGCGTCCCGGGCCGCCCCGGGCCCCGTGTTTGCACGCGGGTGTGCGCTGGAGGCGGCTGCGCCCCTGTGCGGACACCTGCCCTGTGGGAACTGCCTCGCCCCCAGGTTAGAGCCGCGGACCAGGACGAGGTGCCCCTTGAGCGGCCGCGCGAGGCCGCCTTTGACGTGGCTCCGGCAGGGAGGGCCTGCCTCCGGGGCAGCGCGATAAATTCACGAGCAGGCAGACAGCTCTTTTTTACAGATGTCATGCAGATCATTTAAGTGGTACAGTGATGACACATTTGATGTCTTTTGACATTTTCTTAAAATAGTTGAAATCTGCATTTTTCATTTGTAGGCAGCCTGCAGAGGTATGATGGGTCTTTTATAATTTTAGAGCACAGCTCAGCACAAGAGCCCAAGCTATTTATTCTGATAAATAATTTAAGCATTGTAGGAAATTACTAATACGACCTCAGGCCGGTGGTGGTGAATGTGCAGGCCGTGTGCAGGCAGTCGTCAGAGAGTGGTGGGGAGGCTGCCGTAGGTGCCCGGGGGGGGGGGGGGGGGGGGGGGGGGGGGGGTGCGGGCGCTGACCCCAGCCGCCGTCAGCAGGGGCCCAGCAGGGGTGCCTTCCGGACAGCCCCCCATCGGTACCGTGTGTTCTAACTTTGGAGCAGCAGAGCTGGCTGCTCTCAGTGTTTCATGTGTTACACATTTTTGCTTTTAACATGAATATTCAAAGTAGAGAACAGCCCAGAGTGAATTAGGGGCCAGTCGGGAAGCAGGTCTACACGTAGCTTCTCTGGCTGTGGGACGAGAAAATGTGTGAGAAAGATGCATGAGTTCGGCACTTGCCCGTGTCAGCCAAGAGCCGGCCACTCTTCATGCCTTAGCACCGTGCTCCCCGAGGCAGAGAACGTGGGCATAGAGACATTGGTGGCGCGCAGGGGCTGTGCCTTCAGCTCTGTAAGGTAGGATTTTTCTGTTTGCTCACAGTGTGTTATGTCTCAGATTTCAAGGATCATTAAAAAGGCAAAAAGAGCACAGTCTGTTTGTGATGCGCACAGTCCTACTTGAGGATTCTTGAGCACAGCCTGGAGCCCCCTTACGTGCCTGGAGCGGGGTGGCCGGCGGACCGGCTGTCGGGGGCGTGTGGGAGGTGGGCAGCCGACTCCGGCTGCAGATGCCACTGCTCTTTAGGGCATGTGACCATCAGTTACTTGCTCATCCGTCACGTGCCGTGATGGCCACATCCCTAAATTGAACACACTATCGGGCCTTCTCTGGGCTCTGTTTGGCGAGACTGGGAGGCGAAGCCTGGGCCTGGGCTCGGCAGCGGGCGACGTTGTCTGGGCGGGCAGCCGCTCGGTTCTGTTTGCTTGTCAGCGTTGGGGCACACACGGCTCAGGTTTGCGGAGGGAGTGTGGTGCAGCTGTCGGCGTGAGGGCCGTGGGGTTATTCAGGTGGACGGAAGGGGGCTTGGGAAGGACGAAGGAGAGCGAGGAGGCAAGCCGTGGCCCCTGCACCCCAGCTGCCTCCCAGCCCCCCCAGACAGCGGTGCTACGACTTTCCCGGCCCCGCTGCGGAGCCGGCTGGAAGGGGAGGCCGTGTTGTGCTGGAGACGGGCATTTGCTGTGACTGCACGGTTGCTATGGCAACGGGAGACCTTCTGATGAATTTTTTTAGACTAAAACGCCCGATTAATATATCAAGTTTGGTGTGCAGAAAAAAGGGAAAGAAGAGTAAAGAGGGCATTTTAACAGAGTGCCAGGTAAACCCCAACTAAGAAGAGTGCTTGTGATCTAGAAGGTCTTAAGTGTCCCCGTCCCCGTCCGTCCTGTGGAGTCCAGAGCCCTGTGCTTACTTGGCGGGTGCCGGCTGCGCGTTCAAACTCTGCACGCTTCTCACACCGGACCAGGGCCCTTTCCCTCCCCCTGCCCTCCCCCCTGCCCGCATGCCTCCTCAGGTCCCTCGCCGACCTCTGGGAACCGAACCGTGGATTTCGGGAGCTGAGCCTGGCTAGGGGACCTGCCTCTCTTCTGTCCTCTGCCCTGGGGCTGCGGCCACCCCGCAGGCCCCTCCCCTCGTCTCTCACTGTGCTGGCGCCTCCATGTTGCCGAGCAGGGGGGGAGGGTGGGGGTGGGGCTCCGGCTCCTTCCTGCTGAGCAGGCCCATAACCTGGTGCCGTGTCATGTCTCTGCTGGCGCCAGTGTTAGCTTACTAGTGGGTCGTAAGTCGTCACTGCCACGGTTTGCCCCCGCCAAGAAGACTGGGAATGAGGGAGCCTTGAAGGCGGTAGAAGGCCTCGCCCGTGTCTGTTGGGTGGACAGGAGGCCAGCACGTTCTCAAGTCCCCTTTCTTCATATTAAAAAAAAAAAAAAAAGCCTTTGGGTTTTTTCTAATTATAGAAGCATTAAAATGAATAAATTTGTATGCTCTCCTGTTTTTCCTGAAACTGTCCTCAACAGGAAAACTAAGCCACATGCGCCTCTAGCCCCGAGAGCCGCGCGCAACGAGGGTGTCAGTGGGCATCCCCTGCTCCCTTGCCCTGGGGACGCCCTCACACGCGAGCCGTGTGGAAACACACCTTTTCCCTCTGATACAGAAACGGGGTCGTGTTCCACACGTGGTGTTGTCGTAACCTGCTTCTTCGCAATGTGTCGCAAACATCTGATAGATCCACAGCACAGATTTACGGCAGGGGTCCTCAAACCTGGCCATGAACTAGACCATGGCGCCCTGAAAAACTAGGATGGCCGGGGCCCCGGAGATTCAGGTTGGGTTTGTTGGGTTGGGTGGGTGCGGGGGTGGGGCCCAGCTCAGGCACCGCTATGTCCTTAGGCCCTGCTGGTGGTTTTGATGGGTAGTCGGGTCCCCTTTTGGCTTTCCTCTGTGTAGATATTTCCTCTGCGTAGATACAACGTTCTCTATATTTGCTTAAGTCCCTATCGTAGGGCACTGGGGCATTTCCATGTCTGTGAATATCATGAACAGCTCAGCACAGAGCATCTCTGTGTATTCAACCTCACACACTTCGGAACGACACCCCGAAAGAGTGTCCGCGTCAGGCACCTGGGCACATCTGCGCCGCTGGGCTCTGTGATCCAGCCGCTGTCCGGGGTCACACGCTGGTGACCAAGTGGGCGTGGCTGCTATTGTGGGGGTAACCAGACAAAGGGGGAAGTGGGGAGTGGACAAGGGAACGTGAGTAAGTAGACTGAATGGCAGGAGGGGCCCAGGAGGGAGCCAAGCAGGCCCAAGACCACGGAGCAGCCGGGCAGGGAGGGAGGGGGGAGGGCAGAGACGGCTTGTTCTCACTGTGCCGGAAAGCCCTCTCCCCAAATCCTCACCAACTTTGCCTGTTGGTGATGTTTTTACATTTTTGACAATCGGAAAGGTGAAGGTTGTGTTAGTGCTTGGAGTTTCTCTGCTGATGGGATTGATAATCTCTTTGCTTTTTATCTCTGGGACCTTTGTCTCTTGCACATCTCTGGCGCCTGCCTGAGCCCATGCTTCCCACTGGGACCTTTGCTGTTCTGCTTCTTTTCACTGTTCTGTGGGTGCAAGGCCTTAGCCTTGAACAGCCCCCCACGCACATCTGCCATTTACCTTGCGGTGTTGCTGTGGGTTTCTGTGCGCGGATGTGTTTAGTGTTTGTGCGGTCAGACTCATCGATAGCTTCCTTTCTGGCAGGTCCTGGCCTTGGTGTTGTGTTACTGTCGTCTGCTCCAGTTTATAAATCTGCACCTGCACTGCCTTCCAGTGCTTTATGTGGAAACTTCCAGCATCTGATGGCAGCAGGAAGGTCTTCTTCCTGTGGGCATGCTTAGGACGCTTCTAAGTGTAAACACCCTTCATTGTGTGTTTGCTCTGGTTTTTGTTGAACTGTGAACATATTTCCCCATTACATTTCATACTGCTTGGTGCTGGAATGAAGGAAAATTATTTTATTATCTAAAACACTTTTTTTAATGTTTTTTTGGGGGGGCAAGGGAGAGACAGCACAAGCAGGGGAGGGGCCGAGAGAGAGGGAGACACAGAATCCGAAGCAGGCTTCGGGCTATGGGTGTCAGCACAGAGCCCGACACGGGGCTCGAACCCACGAATCATGAAATCATAAGCTGAAGTCAGATGCTTAACTGACCGAGCCTCCCAGGTGCCCCAAAACTTTCCTTTTCGAACTATTCACCCTGGAAACAGCCACTCTGCTGAGACCCTTGCTGGTTCCCAGAGGTTTCGATTGCTGTGCTCGGGCTTTCTGGGCGGACAGTCACACCGGTGGCAAAGAAGGGCTGCCCAATATAATGGTGCGTGGGCCCCCTTTCCTCCGTGTTGCCTGGGGCTTGCAGGGGCGAGGGGAGGAGCGGCAGGGGGCGCACGTGTGGCGGCCCAGTACTGCTCACAGGGCGTCCTTTCGGGTCAGCCTGGCCCCTGTTTATTAGGAGTCTGTTTGTAGGGGGCATGCACTTGAGTTTCAGGAAGTGCCTTTTTCCTTCCCTGCTGACTGGGAAGAAGGTGTGTGGAGGGGCGGGCAGTGGCTCCCCATGGGTCCCAGACTTGGGCTAATGGCGGCTCACAGCCCCCAAACACAGGCAGGGGCTTCGGGGGCCAGAAGCCCTGTGGGTGCAGACCCTGGGGCCCGTTACTGGCTGGTGGAAACTTGCAGA